CCCATCGATTCTATTCAAAGAAATAACCAATTAAAATAAGATATTAAACATATTAAACAGGAGGATATCAAAGGTCCATTAATTAAGATCAAAAGCACCAAATCAAAGTGTTATCCTAACAAGTACTACGTTGCTCTGATCCCTGCATCATGGGCAATTCACTCACTACAGAAAACTAAAATTGGTTTAACTTCACTGAAGCCAAGCTCGGAAGTTAATCATCATAGACATACCGCGTCCATCAAAGTTTCCACAAGGGCTAAACTGTTGATGATTACTATCCCAGTTTCTCTTGTAGCTTCGGTTACATAACCAGTGGGTTTTGGACCAATACAAGGAGAAAACAACCTTGCATACTCCTCATGATTAAACACTTCCTTCTCACCATCCAAACTCTTAATCCAAAGAGGGCTCTCTGCCTGAGTCATCTTTAGCAATTCCTCCATAGCAGCCAACGCAAGATCTATAAGCATAGATCTCTCTAGCTGAACTTCGTTTCCCATCAACCCCAATGATGGTCTAATCCCAGGCATTCCAGTTTGAGTGCCCAATACTCCATCTCCCAAGTCAAGTCCCATTGGTAAGGGAGTGCCGAGAGTGCTTGAACCACCAAGCCCACTCCTTCCAATACCAAGTTCCAGACCAGAATTTGAGGTTGGTAGAGCCATGGGACCGGTCATTGATGAGATTGGCTTGCCAAGGAACTTGTTTGCTAAGGCACATATACGGTTCAACTCATCTTTTAGTCGAGCATTCTCAATTCTAATCTGGTGCTCCTCAAATGAAATTTGACCAGGAATCGCTGGCCCACCACAGCTGTTACACACTGGATTTGACATTGCTTCCTTCATCAGACTGTTCTCAGCTCTGAGCTTATCATTCTCCTGTCTAAGCATTATGTTCTCATGGCGTTCCAGTTGGGTCTGATTCAAGGAAAATCACTTCAATTAGCACAATATCTAAATTGAATCGCCAAACTGCATTCAAGTGCAATAATTCTACATTACTGTCCTTAAATTCACCTTCATTTGGGTTCGTCGGTTCTGAAACCAGAACTTGACTTGCTTATTCTCCAACCCAAGCCTCTTACTGAGATCCAACCTTTGCTTCTCATCAGGATGAGGACACTCCTTGAAGAAACTAAAAACCAATAAAATCAAAAACCCAAAAACCACAAACCAATCTTACCACGTAACTCAATTACAGAAGAAAATTAGAAAAAAAAAGTAAATAATTAAAAAGCGACTAAGTTTTATTAAGTCATACGACTCAAGCTCTTGAATTTGGTGAGGAGTATGTCTGTGGTATCTTTTCTTCCTCTGTGGCTGATCATCACCACCGTCCTGATCATCACCAGATACACCATCGAAGTTATCACTTCCAGAGCGGCTTTCATACTCATCATCCCTCATCCTCCCCATCAAACCAGCATCAAAATTTTCCCCAATGAGACCCATCTCACTGGGGCCCTCCATTTTCCTTTGCTGTAGAACATAATAATAGCTTCATCAGCAACGAGAAGGGGGATGAACAATAAGATGCATAAATGAAATTCAATGCCAACAGAGAGAAATAAACAAAAAATAAGAGGTCTGGAGATGGAGACCGAAACCATACATTTGAGTAGGAGAAGGAAGATGAATTTTGCATTGAAGAGGAAATGGATTGAGAAATAATTATCAGTCACAACAACTCTTGCACCCCAAATGCTAACCCTCAAGGCTCAATCCCCACAAAAGATTTTAAAAAATTGGACTGACCCTCTACCTTTTATCTCCCAAAAAATTCTGTGCTTCTCTCCCTCCCACGCTGACTCTCATGTTCTTCTCTCCTTTTGTTTCTATTTTATACCCGAAATTGTCACTATCACTTTTGTCAAGAAGCTTTTTCAGTTTTTTGACTCCTTATTACGCTTAACTTTTTGACCTTTAAACCAGATTGAGCTAAGCACTGACAAGATTGAAATTTTTTTTTTGTGAAAAAGTAGACAAGGCCAAAAAGTTGTTTCCTTGTCGACACCCCTTTCTCTCTCCAGCAGAAAGCCAAAAGGCTATCCTAAAACAGATGGAAAGAGCAAGAAGACAAAGAAAAATCCCCTTCCTTTCTGATCCAAGGTTCACACCTGCATATCATGTCTGCAACCCCAACAGCAGAAATAACACAAAACAGTGACATGAGAAGAAGAACTCTTGTTTTTCTATATTTCACACTTGACCGATTCTTTGTCAGTATAGAGAATTTTGAAAAAGACCCCAGCAAGAAGAAAATCCAAAGAAGTCTAAGCCAAAACGTCCCTCGGGAAAAAAAGAATAAAAAACAAAGATTGAGAATCTTTTCACACAAATATAAAAAAGGACAACAACAAATACAAAAACTTCTCTCATAAGTATCTTATCTCGGTCATATTCACACACCACCCTGACTTTTCAAATGCATCACACCAAACCTAAGCTAAAAAAACCGGTTGACACCACCCCCGTCATTCTCTCTCTTCTCTCTCCACCCCGGCACTGTTGATATAAGTGAGAAACTGAGAAATGGAGAAAGTTAGATGGTATACAAACCAACCATGGTACGGCGAAAACGATACCTTTTAATTTGACAGTGTGCAAAGTAAAAGAGCCAAAAAAACAAACAGAGCCGCTGGGTTCCACAGCCTAGAAAGTTATGATTTCTCTTTTAAATTAAATAATCCAATTCGTGGTTGATAAATTTGACAGCCAGAACATTAAATCTTAAAAGGTTAAAATCTCTTTCTCTTACTGTTTTTTTTTTTCTTAAAGATTGAAACATGCTGCGTCTATTGAGATTAGTGGAAGAGAAAGGGACAGATAAATAAAATAAAATGGTTTATAATTATATAAAATGCCGATTGATTAAGAATTAAAAAAAGAAGATGGAGCTGACTTACAGTGACTATGGGGGTAATGAGAAAGTCAATGGTTTTCTGCACTAAGATAATTGCGTTTTTCCTAAATGAAACAAACCCTTTCGGCTTTTTCTTTGAAATCGAATCCAAGTTAGATTCCAAACCCCTTTGTACCTGTTCCTGTTAATAACATAGCTGCTTCTTCAACCAGATCTTTCTCTCTGGTTACTCTCTGCACACACTTATTATTTTTCTATCTTCAATGTATAGCATACGAGTGTGGGGTCCATGCTAGAAAGAGGGGTTCGTGATGTCCGCCACCAATCACAACTCAACATGGAGCGCGTGCACACGCGTCTGCTTCCGCTATTACTGTTGTCAACTACAATCTACTCGCGTTGTCCTTTTGAATGGTTTTTTTTCCGATGTGTGCCAGTCCACCATAAGACCCGAAACAGCCAATAAGAATGTCAAGGGTTAAGGACTATAATGCCATTTCATTGATACTAAGGCTGTTTCTGGATCCAAGACTATGAATGACTTAGACTTCCTTCGTTTCTCATGAAAAAGTAATGAATATTTGTGAGAAGTTATATATATTTATTCTATAAATAAGAATATCTCTCTTAACAAAAACTTCATCTTCTGTAAATAAGGGAATTATTTTATTTCATATATAGGTTAAGAATCTTCTTTAAAATAAAGAAAAAGTATATTTTCACTACAAATTATGAAAACCGGTAGATAATTGGTAATTTGAGAGATCAAAATAGAGACTATTTGCATTCTCATTTTCATTGTTTTTACTAAATTAAATATCATAATTAATTTTTGCTTTTATTTTAAAATTATTGACGTTACTACTTTTGTTATTTTATTTCCCATAGTGACTATTTTTTATCATAAAAAAGGGAATTTGCTATATTAATTTTTAAAAGTGTTATCTTAAGTTATCTTGTTAGGCAGACTTTTAATTTGTGTAACTCAAATAAAGGAAAAATATTTATGATTGAAAAATGTTTGAGCTAAATGCATGGTAGTATTCTGATTGGGAGTCAATGTTAGAAGATTATTAATTACAAAATTCAAATTGTAAATCAAAGCAACTCAATGAAAATTATTCATAAAGATTAGGAATTTTTATATTGCATAATGACTATAGAAATTATCAATTTTTTATTGAAGTTTGTTCAAATATTTATCAATTTATGTCAATGTATAAGAGTTACTTACAAATTCTGAATATATAATTTAGAAGAAAATACTCTAATAGAGGTCATGTTGTCATAAAGTTATCAACATCGGAGTAATCAAAAGTTGGAATATGAAAAAAAAAACTGTTAACACCTTTAGAAGATCAACAAACTGGTTGATAAAGATATAAATATAAATTGAAGATGTTTTTGAAGCATGTTTAACCCTTGTTTTTCTCCTAAAGGGTTAAAAAGGTGTAGTTATCATTAATAATAATTTTTACCATACGGACAACTTAACTTGAACGTTGACCTGTTCTTGCATACTATTTGCTAGAATAATATTATACTGTGAATCTTATGTACTTGTAAAATTTTATAACTCGAATTATATTTTTTTTATAAATTAGTTTATCCGGTTTTCTAGTATTATTCTTTTGATGTTCACATTTTTTTTAATGACGAAGCATATGTCTATACACTAGTTTAGAAATATAGGAGATGTTTTGAATTATTAGATCCGTATTATCTTCTTTTAATAGTTTTGATGCTATATGAGGTGCTTGCTATCTTAGTAAATGAGGTTTTTTGTTTTCTTAATTTCCTAGAAAATGAGATGCGTGACCGAAGGATGGAAGGGATTTGAATCCGGTGTATCACAACAAATCTAACAAATCCTGTGTTCCATACTTCATAATTTAAAAAATGGAAATAATTGAATTGGATTAATAATATTGATTTTGAAAATTCAGTATGTAGTAGTTATANAATTTCTAAATTAACCGGTACAAGGCTAGAAAATGGTATAATGAAAATGTAATAATTTTATCAATCATTTATGGACACGTTCGTTTTTAGAATTAAAAAGTTTATTTTTTGAACAATCTTATATTATCTTTATAAAAAGAAGGTATAGTTATGAAAACATGATTACAAATTTATGGACTTACTTGATTGACAGAAGGAGGAATAGTAGCAAAAGAGAGGAGATTTTCAAGTTTATGACAACTGAAATTGCTCACTCCAATTAATTTTGTAAGGCCTTGCTTTTGACACTCCTCCATTGCTTGCCACACACCCTTTAAGTCAAATGATGTTAGGGCCTCTTCAGGAAAAGGAAAATCCCAATTTCCAGGTTTCACAGAAATGGGCCAGTGAATTAAATAAAGATCCACATATTCCAACTTCAAAGACCTGCATTAGTTTTCGGCTCCACGCAAGAACGTTGCTTCAGTATCGGAAAGAGATTATGTAATAATACATTTTTCAAGCCCACTTTTTAATATTTAATTTTAAAAAAAAATCAAGAATTATAAGAAGTAATGGTTTTTATCAAGGGTTTACACAGATACATACACACATTTAATAGAAGAATTTTGCACTTACTCAAGCGTTTTGTGGATAGCTGGAAGAACAAGAGGAGGAAAGTTATCAGTACACCAGAGTTTGGAAGTGATGAAGAGTTCGTCTCTGGAAGCTATGAGGCCAAGTTGAAGTGCTTCGGCTATAGCTTCTCCAAGGGATTTTTCAGAGTCATATTTTGAAGCAGTATCAAAGTGTCTGTAACCTAATTTGATAGCTTCTAACATTGCCTCTTTGGTGTCAATAGGAGAAGATGTTGACGCAGTGCCAAATCCGATCACAGGCATCTTGTGATGATTCGAAGAAGATTGAAGCACCACATGAGGGATGTTTGATGAAGACATGTTTTTTTCTCACAAGAAAACTATGTCTCTGTTTTGTTTTTATAGGTGCATAATGCATAATGAAAACAAATTAAATTTAATTAAATTATAAAATTTTATAAATATTTTTTATAGCAAATATTAGGTTTTAGTTTTGTTAACCAGAAGATGATCTAGGAGAGTTCAATCCAACTTTATGTTGGTGGGGACACTGGAACTTCTTTTACCTTTTCTTCTATACAAAATTGTGATAAAAAGTATATTACCTTAAAAAGTAGTTTGAATGTTTAATATGAAAGAATTTAATATTTTTATGTATTTAATTTAACTATCTAAATTAAAATTTATTATTCTATTATTATTGTTGTTATGGTTTATCTTTTGATTTTTTATATGATAAAAATGTTTTACAAATTCTAAACAAATGATGATATAATGTCAATTTAGATTATATAAATCGAAACAAATTTTATCAAATTAATTTTTTCTAATGAGTTAAATTTAAGTTCATATTCTTGAGAATTTATTTTAACAAAATTTGTTAAGTTTATCATTTGGATATTTAGTTTCATTTAGTTTCATGCATTATATGTTCATGTTTATGTGTGAAGAATATCAAATGTTCATGTTTACTATGATATAATTAACTTAAAATATATAAATAAATATAATATCATGTTTATCATCTAAAACTTTTGGTCTTAATAATTATTATTTCAAATCAAATTATTGACATGTATCATCATTGTCCATCAAATTATAATTATAAATACATTTATTAATAATTAATAATATATTAATTATCAAAATTACCACACATCCTAACCGTGACGTATGCATGTATTTAGTGATACTAACATAATATATAATTAATGCTATTATTTATTGTATTTAATATTTAAATTTAATGTCATTAATAATCATGTGAAAAAAAATAATTTTAGTTGAAATATTTAATGTATAAATTTAAGAATACATTAGTTTGCATGAAATACTATAAAATTATCTACTACTTTATAAAATCAATTATAAAACTTTTTATTTAAGTCTGTAAAAAATATTTATTTATATTTTTTTTCTCTAATAGTATAGTCTCTGTAGGAATAGCAAATAAACTCATTCTTGTGGATATTGTCCAAATTCGTTTTCATTTAGATGAAAAATTCTTACATTAACTAGGTTTTTTCAATTAGGTATGAGTATAGATAATATTTAATTTTTCAATATGAAATGTAAATGAATTTATATATATTTACTGTGTCTACCTTCATCTCTGTCTCTATTTAAATTACTAAAAATATTAATAGCTTATTAGGTACACAAATATATATATATATATATATATATATATATATATATATATATATAAATTTTTAATAAAGTCTCACAGACTCTATTTACCCTGTCTGGAAACTTTTTATGTAATTATGTTATAGTTAATAATATAGGTGATGTCTTATGATTTAAATAAATTTTGACTCTGAAATTAATAGTAATATTTGATATTTATTAATTTTGTATCTGACCGTTAGAATGTATCTGCACAGAGTTGAAAAAATAAACATATCAAGACAAAAATAATTAAGTAAATAATTAGTATAAATATTATAGAAGATTTCTTCTTAAAAGTATACCATATTTGTATATACTTACAATAACTATTAGTTATTGTTTACAATAAATTATTTTATTATCTTTCATCATTGATTACTTATCAGTTTCAAAGATATATATATACACACACATTAGTTATGGTGATATATCTTTGACACTTTTTCATTGTGATTTTAAAAGAAAACTATGTAACATCACTATTTAAATATAGACTCAAATAAAAAACAAAAATCTTAAATTGTTAATTAGTGCATCAAAACATATTCTTATAAATATAAAGAGTTTTCCAAACAAGTTATCCTACCTTGAATAAATTATTTTTTAAATAAATTAATTATAAAAATATAAATATATAAAATTAAATTATAAAAAAAGACAACTTTTTATATTTTCCTTACGAATAAATTTAAATGAAAATAATAGACAAATAAAAGTGACTAAATAGGTGGTAAATACAATAATACCCATATTCATATTCATCTTATTAAAAAAATTAATAATTAAGATATTTATACTCATTGTTTGTAAAGATTTATTAAAAAAATTTATTTAGTAATAATATAATTTACCAGTTACATAAAACATTTGAACATCTCATTACTTATTCTTTTTCCTGTTTGCTATGTCTTTAAATTTTAAGAATTTAGATTCTTTGTTAAATTTTGTTTGCTGTCATCTGTGTGGGTGTCTTTAAAATGCACTGATCTATATTAATTTTTTATATTTTAAAATATATTAAATATATTTTTAATATATCAAAATGATGTAATTAGAAAGATAATTAGATAATAAAGAAACACAGAGATATAAGTGGACTCAATACATTAAGTAACTTGTAATTTAGTCCTCACTGAATTAAATTTCAATACATTTTAAATATAATTAAATTTTTTAAAATTAAAGTTATCCCCTTTGAAAGAGTCGTATTTAGATTGTTAAATTTGACACATGACATTTTTTATATTGTAATATATAACATATTACAAACATTATTAATATCAATTTAATAAATTAATCAAATAATTCTATTTAATAAATATTAAAATTCAATTAAATAAAAAATATAAAAATTAAAATAAACTATAAACATGATAAAAATACAAAGTTATTGCTTAAATTTTAAAAAAATAACTCTCGGACATAACTACGGTAGCTCATTGTTGAAAAGTAGATTCAAATTGTTTTAAATTAATAATTAATACTAATTAAAAAATAATAAAAATCCTTAAATATTTAACAGATATTTTATATTTTATCTAGATTTCAGTCATACATGTAAGTGAAACTTAATCTCCTATCTCTTATTTACATGCAACATACTTTGATATTTTGATGAGCAAAACTTTATAACACTTTCCTTTTTTCTTCTTACATGATTTTATTTAGGTCTATTTCTAAATTAAATTAATTCAAAGTAAAATAAATCAAATTCAACCTGAATTTAACTTGAATTAAGTAAATTATTTTCCTTCAATATAATTAAGTAATTACTTTGAGAGAAAAAATATGTTTTATTTTTAATAAACAATTATAAACATGTTTTATTTTTAATAAACAATTATAAACATGTTTTAAATTATTATTTACTTCCTGATAACTAGAAAACATTTTTACAACTTTTTGCAAAAATTAATTTTCCTTTAAAAAAAATGTGGGAAAAGAGTCATCATAGAGCATCACGAAAATCATTTAATTTCATTTTCATTTTCACGTGAATTAAGGTGTTTTAGGTGTTTTCTGGCCAAATAAAAAAAACACAATCTCCATAATAAATATATATATAATCAATCAAAATCTGCATCTTTTCATTAAGTATGTATTTAACCAGTTTTCTTTTTTTTTATCTATTTACACAGACACTTCCATTTTAACTTAAATTTTTATTTTGTTCTAATAATATCTTCGAATTATTTAACTTTAAGAACAAACATCTCATGTGATAAAAAATATTCCATAAGCAACATGCTCATCACCTTTCTGTTTTTTTTTTTTTTTCTCTTTTTACTTTCCAAACATATTTTCAAAGTGATGAGTATGAACCAGTTGATAATTAAAAAGTTAGCAAAAGAATGAGAATTTTTAGTTAGTTAATTATTATTGCACTATATTGCATTTTTTAAAGAGAGGTTTCACAAGTAGATTGAATAAGTAGAAAAATATTGTCACTTTCCAGATTTTACACAAGTGAGACAATAAAGAATTAATGTTTGAAGAAAAGGATGCATCATGGAGTTTTTGATGATTAATTAATGGGGTTAAATGATAGATATATGATGGTTAAATAGCTTTGATTTCACAGGTGAGATATTATTAAGAAAGTACTACACTATATAATGTAGTTCATGACTCCACAAGACTTTATTTGCACAATCCAACTACAAACATATACATTAATTATTTTTATTCATACATTAATTGACTTTTTAAAAACATTTTATGACTAACATTAGAAATAAATTATTATTATTATATACATTATAAACGTCCATTTTCAGATATTATTATAAAAAACAATGAAATATAATTAATATAATAGTTTCTTAAGAATATTGGTGCTGGAATGATAGCAATACCAGAATAAACACAATTTCTACCTATCTAAGATCGTGTTACAAAGAGTATTTTCTTAAACAATCTAAGGGAATATATATACATTGGACAACTTAGAAATACTTTTCTTTTAAAGAAAAAATAGTTAATACGATAGAATGAATTTATAAATTATAACATCCCAAAATATATAGCATAAACCATATAAAGGAGTTATCATATAATAATATTGTAAGACATTTAAAGATGTTATAATAAGATTACAGTTATTCTAAAATAACCATAAAATTTAAAGCTTTACTGATTGGTAATTACAAAATTTAACCGAACGGTTCAACCCAAAAACTAAAAATAGTAATATGACCGAACGGTCATATTTTAAACTGCATGATTCTCGCTCTCCAACTCCTGCTCCAGCGTACACTCCACATCCTCTGCTCACACCCAAAAGGTGATGATCGCAAGAGAAAAACCGAACGGGAACATGGGTAAAACAGGAAATAAGAGTAAGCTAATGTAATTTAGTTATGCAAACATACATACAATTCGTACAAGTACAACCAATGCATAACCGAATACTCCAACATACCAAAACAAAAACATATATGCATATACAAATGAACACTATACTTCATGCATAAACCGTACACCTGACTTGACCATCCGGATTGTATGAATATGTAGCTTGAGGTCGTTCATGCATTCGAGTGGTGTAGTAACTGGAAAACCATCAGCTGCCACCCGAAGTTAGTCCGTTATAACTCACCCAAGAACCTATGGGCTAGGACCTCCTGTCATTCTCACACAATGCCTTACCTATCTCTACTTGAGAATTGGTAATCATCAGAATATCAGGA